TGTGAGAGGGATGCGTGGTGTGGAAGAAGTCGGGAGAGAAGCGGAGGACGGAGGAGCAGGGGTCTGATTCACAGCTCCTCCGCAAGCTCCCCGCTACCACCCCCACGACCACCCTCCGCCCTCCGCCCTCCCCCACCACACCTCTCTCTCTTCTCTCCAGCCCGGGCTGTGGAGCATCCGAGGAGCAATGAGCACAATAGAAGCGCTCTACATCTTCGACGAGAACAAGTGCGCCGTCCCTCCCCTCACACCTACACTACCAAAAGGCCAACTGACGAGAGCAGCACCCCCCTCCTCGAGCACCTCTACAACAACCGCCCTCCGCCACCCTCCACCCTGCTCCCCCTCTACCTCGCGCACCCCACGCCCCGCCCCCCACTCATCTACCTCCCGAATACGAACCCCTCCACCCTCCTCTACAGCATCACCCAAGACCAACTCCTCTTCCTCTGCCCCTGCAGCACCGACACCGCCGGCCCCCTCCAGATCCTCGAGTTCCTCCACCGTGTCGCCGACGCCTTTGAAGACTACCTCGGCGCGCCTCTCCTGGCCAGTAAAATCGAAGCAAACTACGATGTCGTCGCCCAGCTGCTCGGTGAAATGGTGGATGGCGGCGTCGTGAGCTGCACGGAGCCGAATGCGCTGCGCGATGTGGTCGACGCGCCGAGCCTGTTGAAGGGACTTCTCGGCCAGGTGGGCTTGCCGTCTAATACTCCGAGTTTGGGCGGCGGAGGGGGGAGCTCGGCCTTCTCGCTCGGGGGCATTGGTATGGGCGCTTCTCCGCGATTGAGTCCAAGTGGCGCCATGGGCATGGGGAGTGGGAGCGCTGCGCAGACGGCTAGTCCTGTCCCCTGGCGCCGCGCGAATGTCAGACACACGAGTAACGAGATGTACGTCGATATCGTGGAGACGCTGCACGTCACCATCTCGCCGTCCGGACGTCCATTAGCCGCCATCGCGAACGGCACCATCGCCTTCACGGCCAAGGTGTCCGGGATCCCGGATCTACAATTATCCCTAGCCTGTCCAGGCGGAATCGCCAATGCCATCGCCCTCCCCGTTTTCCATCCCTGCGTCCGCCTCAATCGGTGGAAAGAAAGGCCCGGCGAACTCAGCTTCGTGCCGCCGGATGGCCGCTTCGTGCTCGCCGGCTATGAAGTCGATTTACTCGGTCCCGCCGCCCTTGACGCCTTCTCCACCGCCTCGACGAAATCCGGTCCGAGACTTAATATCCCGGCAACAGTATCGGTGCAGACGGGTCTAGGTCCCGCGGCTGCGGACTTTGAAGTCAGACTCCTACTCAACCCGCGCTTCACGGGCAAATCTCACCTTTCCGGTGCCGCCGCCTCGTTATCGGGACGAGCGCGCGGAGGTGCGGGTTTTGCTTCTTCGTCCTCCGCTGCGCCGGGAACCACGGGTGCTCCGACGATTGAGGATATGGTCGTGCATGTCCCGCTCCCTGCGGCCGTCAGGAACGTGACGGACCTTAGGGTACTGAGGGGTGCGGGGGGTGAAGCTGTGTATGCGCCGGGTGACCGGGCTATTGAGTGGCGTATCAATGGGCGCGAGATTAGTGCTCTCATGGCTAATGATCGGGGGAGTGGCACGGGTGCGCAGGCTACACTTAGAGGAACTGTTGTTGGTGCCGATGTTGAGGCGAGTGATGACTTAGACGGGGGGCCTGTTTCTTTATCTACTAATACGTATGATTATGATGAGGGTGGAGCTTCATATCAATCTCGGTCATCATCAGCCGAGGATGCGAAACGGGGAGCGGGAGCTGGAGCCGGAGCTACAGATGCAGAGAAAGAAAGAAAAAAGAACAAGGTCCTCATGCCGTCTGCTGCGACTCTGGGCTTCTCTGTCAAGGGCTGGTTGCCGAGTGGCATCAAGGTGGAGAGTTTGGGCGTCGATGCGAAGATGAGTCGGGGCTTGGGGAGTGGGGTTCAGCCGTATAAAGGTGTCAAGTATCTTTGTGTTGCGAGGAGGGGGGTTGAGTGTAGGTGTTAGTTGTGGTAGGAAGGGGGTCAAAGAGAGGGGGATGTGTATAGATTTAGATTAGATTGGATAGATGTATGGTTTTTTTTGCACCGCTTGATTCTGGGTGTGGGATTTGTTCTATCTTCTCGCTGGCCTTGCATATAATTTTCTCATTTCTTTTGTTTTATTGGGGGTTAGGTCGTTGATGATGTACTATAAATACACAGAGATGCGATATTGTTGTAGTGTGTCATGCATGTGTGCGAAAGGGTAAGTGGTGCATGTCAGCGTTTAGTGTAGCGTTCTGGGATATGCGCAATCGTGATCAGATGCACTGACGATATGTGAGGTATTTGTATCTGGCATGCTGTCTTAGCCTTGTATTTTACGTGGCTGTGCAGAGCGCGGTGCGGACTTTGAGGGTTGGGATGGGGTATAAAGGGCGCGGACTGCAACTTTATGTTCTGACTTTCAAGTCCCGAATTCCTACGAAGTACACCAATTCCTCAACATGGCACCCCGAGACAAGCAATTCGAGGCTTCGAAAGAGGAAATTGAAAAATGGACTAGAGGATTCAGAAGCGCTTCCACATCCTCCCCAAGATCCCCAGCGCCCTCGCGAACAGAGTCGCAACCACCAGCATACTACGACTCATGGCCGTCCAGCCAACCACCGAGATACCCCGAAGCCTCACCCACCACCCCAGCCCAGCGACCGAAACCAAGTCCCGAACAAAATCAGGAACAGACAAAGGCTAGCGTTTCAGCAGTACTCGCTTATCCAACCATGCCTGAGGAAGAGAAGATCAAAGACGACAGGTCGGTGTGGAGACGCTACAGCGATTGGCGCAAGAGCTGGAATATTGTGGATTTGGAAGGGAATCGTGTGGAGAAGGGGAGTGAACCTAGGTTGAATTATTTTGGTATGAGGATTGACGGGGGGCAGACGAGGAGTAGGGTCATGCGGAAGGGGTAGGAGGAGTGATGTGGTGTTGTGATCATTGCGGTCGTGAGACTGGAGATTAATGACCTGGATATCAAGACATACGATACATATGAATGGGGAACGACTCGCTGTGCTCTGGATGCGCTGGTATCATTGACAAACACTCTTCAAACGGTATATACAGGACAAACGCTCGGATTATATTCATCAACTCCCAGCCTACTGACAAGCGCTACTTCGAATTCCTAGTCGAATCCTTGTCCGTGGGCGTTTGCAAGTACTTCACCTGCGTTTCCCGATATAGAGAGATGTAGGAGCGTTTGTAGCGTCATAGCGCTAAAACCGCTGCACTCCACGATATATAAACCTACCCCCACCACTACTTTTATAGAACAACCTCTCCTCAACACGCACGATCGACGATAAACTCACCAACGATACCACCACCAACGAATATCGAGTCTGCCTATCACACCACAATGGCTACGTCCAACTCTTTCGGGCTTTTGAGCCCCGACTCCCCCACCCCTCAACCGACCTCCACGAACAAGAATGTCTCGACATCACAGTCAGCCCCCAAGGTTAGTGCGCTCAACCAGGCACCTTCCAAGACCATCGACAAGGAAAAGAGCGACATCAGGGATCTGCGAACCTGGAACCAGAAAGACCGCAAGTGGCTTCTGCGCGACAACGTCCGGGTCAAAATCTTCCAGGGCTCAGGCCCAACGGCCCAGGTCATCTGCCAGGTCTCCAAGTACCTATTCAACGTCGCCTCAAACAAGGCCCCCGAACTGCTCGTCGGACGCCACCGAAACGAAGTCCACCTCCCCTCCGACATCGACCCCATGGGTGTCCGCCTCCTCATCCGCGAACTGATGCGCATTGTCCATCATCGCTCCCAAGCAGGCCGCATGACCGGCACCACAACATACAACGATCTCGTCATGCACTGCGCCGCCGTCATGCTCGGCATGGAGATGTACACCCATCACAACTTCATGTGGCACATGGCGATCTTCAAGAATGAATTGATATCCTACGAAGATATCGACGCCGTCTGCGCTTTGCCGGTCTGTATGGATACCCCTTCAACCCGTATCTTCGACAGTGTTGCTCGCACCCTCGCGTACAATGTCCGCAAGGATTACATCCCCGATGTCGATGACTTTGACGCCTATCTCGAGACCAATGAGCGCCTTCGCGATGCTATTACCGCGGCGAATAGGAAGTACTTGACTTGGTCCAAGCATGAGGAGCACCGCGCACGTATGAGGGAGAGGGAGGCGAAGCAGGCTGAGTGGGAGAAGAAGAATGAAGAGTGGAATGCGCGGCACGGTCAGGTCGCTAATCAGCGCAAGAAGGAGGAGGCTGCTTTGTGGGCGAGTAAGAAGGCCCAGGAGAAGAAGGTGGGGGCTTCGATGCGCGAGAAGTTGCGTTCGAATGGGAAGTTTGATGTGGAGGAGCGTAGGATGTATGAGAAGATCTTCGGGAAGCATCCTCCCAAGGGTCATTGATTGTTGCCCTTGGACTTGGGATGTAGGATTTGGATTTGGACTTGGTTGGTGGGATGGGTAGGGGGGTGTATCTTGCATGGAATGGTTTCGGGAATGGTTGGGTTGATATACTCCGTGACACTTGGGTGTGATCTTGGATCGTTTGGCATAGACACTTTATTCGTACAGTAGATAGATAAAACTTAGGGAAGAGGATGTATTCTTAAACCCGTATGAACCCGTCTATTTTATAGAATGCGTGAACTTTGCGGTATAGAGTCGTGGTAGCATCCCTATCTATATACATGGCCCGATGGGGATCTTCCAGCTCCTAAATCTACAGACCTGAATCAAGGATTTTGTTACTTCATCGATTTCAAGTTTACGTCTATCAATCAATAGCGGATATGTACCGCAGAAGGCGTTACCTATATAGCGGATATGTACCGCAGAAGGCGTTACCTATAAAACGAAAGGTACATAAAGATGAAAGACAGACCGCCCTGCCTTTCCTTCACAGGCATCTATATCCAACATCCGGAGCAAAAAAAAAGACAAAAAAAAAGCAAAAATATATATTTCGATCCCGGCCAGAATCGAACTGGCGTCTTCGTCACAGAGCGACCCTCGTTTCAATCTTTATAGAGGAGTTCTTCCTGGAATTGACGTGCCGCCACTACACCACGGGACCTTGGTTGTTTAATAGCAATATTAGAGATTACATGGTATAAATAGGGTGTGGTCCCAGAAACATTTGTACCTCTGTACTGATTATGGGTGTAGCATGGTGCTGGTTTTCCGTGTTGTTTCACTGCTTGCTTGTTATTAATTGCTAGCAAATCTCTTATTAGGTAGTCAGGCAAGCAGATCGTTTACTATATAAGATCCTCGCAACTCGCCTTATTAACTTATTGCTAAAATGAATATCTTATCCAGGTATTTCCCTTTATCTATGTAGATGACCTGACTACAAGTCGGTCAGTATAATGGCCGTCTATTAGATTTCTACCAATCAAGTTTTTAGCCCAGCACTCTATACGGCGCAATCATTTCGGACAGAAAATTAGCTCCGAGCACATTGACCGATCCGGAGGAGTATCCATCTGCAAGTACCTGGTGCGCCTCGTACCCTAAAGGCCCCGCCCTTTCAGATGGGATAGCTGCTAGAAATGCTCGCGAGGATATAAATACCCATAGCGCGGCCGTTCTTCTCGATCCTGAGCTGTGCACTGCCTATTCGAAGAACTGAGATACATCGGGTCGGAAAAATAAGATTTCGTATCAGCATTTTGATGGTGTTTGTGGCCTACATCTATAAATGGATCCGAAAGAAGAAGTCTTCGGCTCTTTCTCCCGTTCTATCGCCTCAGAAGTTTGTAATGGTGCTACTGTGGATGCGGATAAAGGAGTTCGACAAGTACCTTACCATCTACCCTCGCCTATCGAAAGCTATTACTACTGCTCATGCAAAATATGTTGCATTATGGCATCGACACTAGTCGGAAAGATCACAAGAGGCTTGCATTAGAGAAGAAAGGTTTCGGTGTGAGCAGGCGCTATCACGTATGGAACAGACAGCTTGGTAAAATTCTTCCACGCGTTTGATAGAATGTGCTGTTTGTCTTCGTCGAAGGATTCTAGTGGAAAATGGGAACGTGGTGTAATTTACTCGTGTAGTTGCCTTGATTACTTGCCGTTTGTTGGGCCCTCACTAGTATTCACTGTTCGTCTCCGAGGCCCGAGCGCCTTTTCTGAGCTCCTCCTGAGTATATAAACACCGCCTCCTGCATACTAGCACCACTCAACCCGATCTCGAATTGACAGCCTGCATGCAACCCACGGTCACCGCAACTCTAGGGACAATTCCAGACAACAGAATTCGTTCTTCAAAACATTACACCATGGATCCCTCGCCGAACCCTTTTGCGCTTCTCGATACCCAATCAAGGTACAAGATGACTATCCAATCATCTTTATATACTTATACTAAACCAAATACTAGCATGCCGCCCCCAGCGCCCAAGAACCCCTTAGGTGGGGAGTCTGAGGTCGGTCCTCGACTTAGCATATTGAACTATGCTATTCTTCCGGTCGGTACAACCAAGTCCAAGCGCACCAATGATACAGGAAAGAACGAAGGTCAGCCAGATCTACGTACAATGTCAGAAGGTGATCGGAAGTGGTTGACCCAGGGCTCCGCCAATGTTTCCATCTTCAACGGCAATCACTGGATTTGCAATGTACCCAAGGCGCTCTTCGTACTGGCTTCGACTAAGGCTGGGTTACTCATCAATGCGCATGACGAGATCCATCTCCAAGCCGACACGAACCGATCTGGAGTCCACCGCATTTGCCTGTACATCAAGGAAGTTGCCAACTGGAAGGGTGATACTCCTCGCCGAATGGCCGCGACCACTGTTCATATCGACCTCGTCACTCATGGCGCAGCGGTTCTTCTAGGCCTAGACATGTACACTGTGCACATGCACAACTGGTACATTGCCGGGTGGAAACACGACATGGCTTCATACGAAGCCTTGGACGCCATATGCGGCCTACCACCGTTCCTCGATCCGGACCAGAAGGCGTTCCGTACGGTAGTTCAATCACTTGCCCGACATGTACGGGAGAATAGTGTGCCAGACAAAGATGTCTTCACGAAGTATCTCGCTACGAAGGCGGGACTACAGACGGCAATTCAAGAGGCCAACACCAAGCACGCAAATTGGCTTCGACATCAGGAGCGTGAAGCCCAGGCTAGTAAAGTCTCAGACCAGCGACTTCAGCAAGTAGCAGAGCGTAGGAAGAAGGAAGCCGCTGAGGCGGGTGCTAAAGCCCAGCGGGACCGACAGCTTGAGGCTTCTATTAAGGAAAAGATGAAGACCTGCGGCAAGAAGTTCACTTTTGAGGAGAGTAGGTATTGGACCCGAACTCGTGGGAAGCGTCCTCCTACTGGTCGCTGATAACCATATGGGTCCAACGGTAGGAGCATTGCCGCATGTTTCGGTATTTTGATCAGGCTTTAGCCTTTGCAGATTGAACAGTCGGGTTTAGAGTTAGAATAACAAGATAGTGGAACGTTATGGCATCATAAATTGTCACGGTGTGCGACATTTGCTCCATATTACCATAGCCTCATATAGAGAGAAGGACTACATTCAGTAATATATAGCTGATGAGGTTATTGTTAAATATTCGTATGAATAACTGTAACTCCCTCCTTTTAGGCTCTATATTTGCAGCACCACGAGCAGAATCCGTATTCTTTATTATTTCCACACCCCGACTCTTTGTATATACACAATGCTTGAATTGATTAATGAAAGATAGGCTGTAGGCGCATAGAAAAAGACTAGATTGTAAGTCTTTCGACGTACACCTATTTCGACTTCCTAAAACACTTAATATTAACGTTGATGTAGGATAACGTTAGTCGTAAAATGATTTCTAAGAGGCCTTATCCAATTTCTACCCGCCCCTCACGAGCACTCCTTTCAAGGGAGGTATCCCATGAAATTGGCCCTTCTAATAATTTTTCTGGTATTAGTTCAGTCGATGGATATCGACCTTAAGCTCTCTTACCTCGTCAAGGTTCCAGTCGTCAAGAGAGTGCATGGCCAGTGCTAACGCACTGTTGCCACGCGATATGGAGGGACAGTCCGGACTGTCGCTCCCAAAAGCAGGTCCTTACCCGTATCCGTCCCTCCCTCTTCGAACTTAGACATCAGTCCCAGTCCGATTGATACGGCCCCTGCTTCAGCGAATATTAGTTCGGCAACTCTAGCCCCTACTGCTCTTCTTCGCTTCGCCGTAGCGAGCGTGAAGTGCGTAGTGCGAGAAAGCCTTAAGCCTCTCAACCATCGTCAAGGTTTTCGCTATCTGAGAGGTGTAGATGTCATGAGTAGGCATCTACGTTTGATGTTAAAAAAGTCCCTATATACACTACATATTATTGTGTTTGCGTCCGGGGCGTGGTTGTACCCACTACCCGGGAAATGTGCGTTCAGAACCATAACTTTAGCTAATATTAGTCTGATCTTTCGATCTTAAGCCTCCCAACCACGTCAAGGTTTCAGCTATATAGGAGGTTTACAGTTGCAAATTTTATATATTGCTTAACTGTAATTGTTTTTCTACTTTTTTTGTTAGCGTTGGTCTTGGATACCAACACTGTACTCAGACCACCGCGAGGTTACGTCGGTGTGGATGATTCTCATGCATCCAGTGTCGGTACTCGTTATTATGATATTTTCTATCGCCAATGAAACAGGAAGAAGCTTAAAGACTGATGCGCTTTAAATAACACCGAGGTGCGTTGGAAAACAACAGTGTACGAAATGGCACCGAAGTGCATTGTAAAACGGGAGTCTATGATAGCACCGAAGTGCGTTGAAACACAATAGTCTACAGCAGCACCGAGGTGCGTTGTGATCTAATAGCCTACTTTAACCAAACGTTAGCCTCCGAAAATGAAGAAATCGTTGATTAACCTCCTTTTGAGGATTGAGGAAGTTGGTCGGTCATAAATCGTTAGGGCTCAAGAGGGTGATCAGTAATGATGCCGCGTATCAGCGCATGCATCGGTGACGGAGTGAGGGCCCGCAAGGCTCGCGCTCATCCGTACAAGTCTGGTAATCCTGTACAGTCCGTCTATTAATTCTGTTACTGATCTTTGTAAGTCAGTGTGCAGCATTGAGATCCACGTATCAGCGTATGATCTCGGCGAAACAGCGAGCAGGACGCATTCCAGTGCTCTTCGATGCAGGTCTAATTACCTGCATAGTGTTTCTAGTATTATGATGCTACCTTATAGTGATTCTCGACAAGAGAGCCGACGTATCAGCGTTGGCACTCAGCGAAGTATCGGGCAGACCGCAAGTCAATGCCCTTGCCATTACAGGTCTATCTACCGTGCATGGTACTTCTTTCCGTTGTCAAGTTGACGAATCGCAGGAAAAAGGGGGGCCGCAAGCCTCACACCCAGCCATGCAAGTGTGTAATCCTGCACAGTCTCCTGCATTTTCGTTTGTGCTTCCCAGAGCCATTTTTGACCCGCGACGCTCCGTGGAATACCCACTTGTTCTTTGCGTCGACTCCCACCCACCCAATGAGCTCTGAGATAGTTTTTGTGCCTGTGTTGGCTTGTTTTGTTGATGTTGTTGTTGTTGTTGTTGTTATTGTTGTTGTTGTTGTTGTCGTGTGATTAGAAAAGATATACAATCTAGTAGAGTATAAATAGTAGACTGGGTAGTCGCTTTACGTCTTCACAAAGTAAGTATTGGAAGAGTATAACGGCATTGTATGGACGTAACAGCAATCTGTGCAGCTATTACACAATGCCCTTTATGTTAAGGTGCACGAAGACGTTTAACAATATCATTCAATTCTAATGAACATTTGACATGAGCTGATATGTATGTCGTTGGTTAGCGACGACCGAGCTGCACAAAGACTGCATCGACGTTAATCCCCCTCATGGACGAAAAAGGGGAAGTCAGACTCGTAGAAATGATGTCAAACTTGAACAGTAAAATGGCTCTTCGACGAAGATTTGCGTGCGTGGCTTCATTGGTGAGGGTGGCATGAATCGCCGTTTTGGACCGAGTTGTGCTGTGGGTACTAGCGTCTAATTCATAAGCTTTTCAGGGACCTAAATAGCAATATTGCGAGTGATTATGATTCAAAAAGAAA